TCATATGACAAGAAAAAAAACAGGCTTAGAAAATTGAAACATCATACTCTGCATAGACAACCACACATAAAACTAGACCAGACAATTAGCAAGCTGACATCATATGTCAAACTACTGTGCTTTGGCATTCTTTAAAGCCAATGTCTAAATGCAAGGCAAACTCACCTCCATCCCAAGAAGTATCATCAGGACTGCATTCCGCACCCAGAAAAAACAATTTTAAAAAAAAGAGAAATTAGTTTAGTTATATCTAGTAAAAAACATGCCAAATAGATGTACCAACAGACAAGTACTATAACTAAATTCAAAGCACATATTTCATGAACTTCAATTACAAAACTCACCCAAATATAACGGCGTTCCAAAGCATAATGTTATTGTCTTGAGGAGCACCACTAATACCCGCAGGAGGGTCCTGTTGTAACCTCTTGAAATCCCTCATCAGTCTCTTCCTTGAAGGAGTTGACATTTTAACTGCCTGCACATTATCATGACAAAATCAACACAACCAAACAGTTAATAGGAAGCATCACTTTCTTTGTTTGTAGATAACAAAGAGGAGCATCACTGAAAGTAAAACATCAAGCAAAATAACGATATTAATGAGTATTCCCTGCCTGTTTAATCAAATCGATCCTATATTAATCAGCTCAAAATCCAGCATACTACACTATGAAAACTGAAACGGACTAATTATGACGATATTCACTAAGAAAGTAACAGGTAAAAATCCTTCCAAAGAGTAACAAACACTAATTCATCCTTATTTTGCGATGCAGCTTGTCATGATGAATACGAACAGAAGAAAAGTGAAATTCAAACGCTTTTTTTTCTAGAATTCGTAAGATCCACAGATAATTCCAAAACACTACACAAAAAAAAAAAACAGAAACGATGTTCCATCAAGAAGAAATTCAATTCAATTCATAAACTTACCTAACAGCGAAAATCAAAGAGAAGGCGTGAGCTAGGGTTCTGCTTCAGCTATGGAGTTCGACGTTTGCTACCTCTGGAGCAGGTGAATCGAAGAGAGCAGAGAAGAATAATTAGGAAGTAGAATTGGGAATCACAATTCAGCACTTCTTTGCATTTGCTTTACAGCACCCAGCCCCTACATACCCCACCCCCTACCCCGATCCCCAAACGCAACTTGCATTTTAGGCGTTAATCTTTATCCCTTTATTATTATTGGTCATGGAAAATTCCAGAAGGGCATCTTCTTTCACGTCATTAACAATAGACAATACTACTGCCAAATACTAGAAACACCACTAGAAAAAAATTGAGAAAGTTTATTATTTACACAAGAGGTCCTTAATGGATTCTGAAATGTACACTTTAGGTATTTTACTTATATTTGGATCATATATATGTCTTATGACCCACTCTTTTCCTTTTTTTTTTTTAATTAATGTTTTAGAATTGCTTATATCCAATTAGTGAAAAACAATTCTCATTCTTGTATGTTTGTTTGAGTCTTATTGGAAGCAAGTTACTAACTATTACATTGGAGATGGGTAAACTGAAGTGACATATTTAAGGGATATGTTATTTGTAAATGATATAGTATTGAATATTGATTGACGAGACACGCAATGAAGGCTGAAGATTTAGAGACAAACCTTGAAGTTTAAAGGGTTCAGATTGAGTAGGATTAAGACAGAGTATTTGAGTGCAAATTTAGTGATGTACTGACTTACAAGGAAGATGTGGCAGTTAGGATTGATACACAAGTTATCTCTAAGGGAGGAAATTTCAAGTATATCTTGACTCAATAATCTAAGGAAATTAATAGCTAAGGAGATTGGTGATAAGGTGGATGAAATGGAAGCTCACATCTGATATTTTGTCGGATAAGAATATGCCACCGAGATTAAAACAAAAATTCATGAAAGTTATTATTAATAGGGAAAAGGGTTTGATATACCCCTCAACTTTGTCATTTAGAGCTGATATATCTCTCGTTGTGAAAGTGGCTCATTTATACCCCTACTTATATACAAATGACTCACATATACCATTTTCCTCTAACAGAAATGAAAAAAAATATTAGTTTAATTTTTATTTTATTTTTTAAAAAAATAAATTTTTTTTAAAAAATAAATTAAAATAAAATAAAAATATATATATATATAATCCCATATGAGTATATTTAATCCTCCTCAAACATATTTTTTTTAACTTTTTTTTTATGGTCAAATTTATTTATGTTTCACTAATATTCTGTAAAATTTATTATAGATGACCAAATTTGTTTCTTCAAATCCAAAAATTAAATTACAATATAGACAAAAAAAAAAAGTTTAAAATTATAATATAGCCACAAAAAATAGTTTTAAATTATAATATAGCCACAAAAAAATAGTTTTAAATTTTTTTCTTTACACTAAGGAATGAAAGAAAAAAATAAAATAAAATAAGAAACTCAAATAATTAAAATCGAAGAAGTCAAAAAATAATTTATGTATGAAAAAGATTAAAATATACCTTGAACTTTGCTAGAAGAATCATATATACCCCTAAATAATTTTAAAGAAAATTAAAAGTCAAAAATATAAATTTTAAACTAATTTTTTCACTTCCGTTAAATGAAGGGTATATGTAAGCTCATTTTATAACGGTAGGAGTATATATGAGCCACTTTCATAACAAGAGGCATATCAGCTCCAAATACCAAAGTTGAGGGATATATCAAGCCCTTTTCCCTTATTATTATATCAAGTTAATATGAGTAGTAATTAGTACCATATGTTACAGGTGCAGATTTAGTAATTTCATAATATAAATTGTGGATTTGAATTGCAAATCACATAAGTTTATAGCGTTCAATCTTGGACATTATATGATTTATTCAGGTCTAGCTAATACTTTTCTTCAATTATATATGTTGACTCCTTTAAAAAATAAATCAACATTTTCAATATTGGAATATATTCCCAATTCTCTTTCGAAGACAATTATACTTTTCGTTGACATGGGAAAAACAATAAGGGACTTTTATATAGATATTAAAACAAATTTTTAGACGTAGTCAAATAAAGCACAGTGCCATAGTAAGCAAGATCTTTTCTTTAGTTCATATTGAATAATGATATATTGTGATGTTTATTGGATAAATATTCTATGGTAGATTTTTCAATAATTGGTTAAGGTTTTCCACTTCTAAAATCTTCTAAAACTAAAAGCCATATTTATTAGCTAGCCAAACTAGACAAGTACAAAGCTACAAATTAAAGTGCATAATGACAAATGAGACCCAAAATGATACCAAGACGTACAGAATTGTCAAAGTAACAAAAAGAATTAATAAACAATTACAAAACCAATTCTTTAAATTTTAATACATAAATGATTGTTTTGGTAATGAACTGAAGTTGAACATTATTAAGCTATATATACTACGACTATGGGAAGAGGCTAGCAAATATGAAAGATAGAGTATAAGTACATGGAATTCCTTAAGTATATACTCCCTCTGTCCATTTTTAGTTATCATATTGTGCTTTTCAAAAGTTTATTTGTTTAATTTTTAAAATTAAATTTGATTATATTAATTTGATATTTTACACAAAAAATTTAAATATTTTAAAACTATACGAAAAATATTATAAATTATAATTTTTTGCATAATAATTATATGATAAAAAATATATCATAAAATATCAATCAAAGCTCTTATTATTTGAGTCTAAAAAAACCATGACAATTAAAGTGGATGGAGGGAGTATCCTCAATGTCGTAAATGATTTTTCATGACAATGCACATTAATTTTTAATTACCTAATTAACCAATTGTAACCTCGACCTTACTCATATCTACAAAAAATGAAAACAAAGAAATTAGAAAATGCTACAAAAGCTAATCAGAGCAAAACATCGAGATTGACGCCAACTCTCACTTTCTTAGTCAAAGCTTTGGTTAGCGCAATCCTTTCTAGATATGTCATCATCGATCTTTTATTGTTTTAAAAACTTCTTCATGTGTGATGATGATATACAGTAATAATATAGTATGAAATAAATAAAGAAATAGAAATTCATTTAATCGATCATAATTTGCTTTGAATTAAGGCACAATTAGTATTATGATTTTCTCTTTGAAATCTGAAGTATCACAATGATACTTCAATTCATAAGAACATTTCTAATTATCTTTGATTTTCTAAATTTAAAAAGTAAAATAAATACTTCCTCAGTCTCAATTTATTTGATTTTTTTTTTTGAGAATCAAACAATTTAAATTTGATCGAAAATTTGCGCATGAAATCTTTAATTTTTTTTAAAAATAAAATTTATATATTTGTAAACTAAGTAAAAAATATTATAAGTCACAATAATTGATAATTCAAAATGTTTAAAAGATCTATGAAAAACTTATGATAAAAAATAAATTTATTTGAATCTCAAAATCCGAAAAGTGTCACATAAAATATTACGGAGAGAGTATTTATTTTTAATATGAGGACAAGTTAATGTGAACTGAGGAAGTATGTTTTTAATTACTTTTATCTTTAAAATACTTATATCGTACACGCAATTCCATATGTATTGTTTTATTACTACTTTAATCCCATCGAAAGTCACCGGTTTGAGAAAAGGGATAAAGAGATGTCCAGTCGATCACTTCTTGTGGACAAATTCAAATTTCAATCATAAAAATCATAAGTAATTAAAGGAAAAAGGTCAAAAGTATCTTTCAACTTTATTTTATTAAAATGATTATGTCTTTGTTGTTAAAATAAAGTTATTTTTTCCTCTGTCGTTATTAATTTCATCATTTGTGTCCCCTCAGTACACTATAGTCAATCAATATTTTAGGCATTTTAATTCTTAGTACAATGTAATTGCTAACTAAATGTAAGAGACTTCAGCAGAACGAATTGTCAATTAATTTACTAAAAACTAAAATATCTACATTTTGGACTTCATATCTCCAAATCATTAAAAAAATACAACCTGATTAACAATGCTGATACCAGTTTCTTACTTGTAGGTACAAGCAAAAACTCTAACTAAAGAAATTAAAATGAATCATAGTGTGTAATCTTTGTGATCACCAGGGGAGATGGATGGGAAGCTACAAAGCACTGGAAATGGCTCAGTAACCTTCAAATTCTGCCCAGATTTTTCGTCAATATGATGATTTCCGCCGCGTGAGCCAATGATAGATGTAAGAGCAACAGCCAATGCAGATTGAAACTTCGGGTCTGATGTTATTGCTTTTGTTGCAGCTGCAATTGTATCTTGTGGTAATAAAGTTTGTGCAGACGTCGCACTTTTAATATTGTTTTGTAGATAAGACTGGTAATGGATATCTTGGTTCTTGTGATAGGTTTGGTTATTTCCGTTATTCCAAGACATGGGAAGAAGATGATTAGATTCAAAGGAACTGAAATTGAGAATATTCGTGGACGAATTATTATTATTATTATTATATCGCGAGTGATAATTATTACTATTCGCGATTGTTCTGTGATGTTGGCCGGGAAATGAGGAAGGGGACGAGTTTGATGTTAAATCGAGAGTGATTGTAGGGTACTGAGAATGTGATGATGAAGAAATGGATGAATTTGGAAGGTTATAAAATGGGTTTGGTTTTGAGTTATCAGATAGGTAATAGTTGAGCGCGGTGGTTGTGGCAGAGGTTGTGGGGCCCGATCCGGAGCTGGATGAACCGGATAATAGCATAGAAGCGGCTGCTGAAGTGGTGAAAGCCATTGATGTGGCTGAATGAGGAAGTGGATGGTTATGTGTTCCTTCATATGTTGTGATCAAGATAGACATGTCCTGAATGCATCTTTGAACCTGAAAAAAGAACAAGGTTTTTTAAATTAAGACGCATTATGATTATTCATAAATTACTTTATTTTATTTTAAAAAATGACTTTTCATCGTATCAAACACAAATGATTATATTACTGTACCTGTTTTCTTACGGGGCAATTTGGTGCCACCGTGCAACGATAGTAAGCTCTAGGACATGGGTTCCCTTTTGCAATTTTTTGTCCATATTTTCTCCATTGACATCCATCGTTCATCTGATGATCAGAAAATAAAACATAAAGTTTATTACTAACACAATATATTGCTTATGTTCAATGTTTTTTTAAACTAGTTAAAAAAGGAAAGAACGTCACATAAATTATTAACTATCCTTACCGTTGGGGTGTCACATCTAACTCTGACAGAAACCTTTGCTCTTTTAGTAGGGTTTTGTTGCACCATATCCTCTTCTTCATTCCTCATCGTCTTAAGAACTTTGTGAGGTGGCCAAGTTTGATCAGCTCCTTTTTCGTCGTCCTTAACTTCTCCTAAACTATTCTCTGGACTGAGATTTGATGGTGAAGATTTCGTAGACGATTGAAACTTGCAATCCAATGCTAGGGTTAGGTTATCTTCTTCCTTCTCATCATTCTCTTTTTTGCTCAAAATTAATTTGGATAACTCTTTTTTTGTGTCACTTGAAGTCCTTCCTAGGCTAAGGGACACAAATTCAGCTTCGTCATGTTTAACATTATTAGGTTTTTCAGCATCTCTTTGAGCAACTTCGTGGAATTGCATCTGAAGGTTCCGATAATCCTTCATAATTCTATCTAAGTGTTTCTTTAGCCTTTGATTTTCTTCCATTACTTCTTCCATATCGGCTTTGGCTGATTCCAGCTGATCATCCTACAAATATTAGGCAAAAATAAAAATCAGATGAATTATTTTTGATTTACGCGAAATGAGAATTTGATTAAAAGATCATGAGTTAACTAGCACGCAATCATCATAATAAATAGAGAAAAAAACATAAGAATTTAATGAAGTTCGGTCAAACTTAGTCCTCGGGGCAGTAATAGCAACATAAGTTCTCAACTATGAATAAGAAAAAATGTACTGGCTTAATTAAACCTCGTTAAATTCTTGTATTATTTTTTCTTTTCTATTTTCTTTGATTATTGGGTTGAGTGTTAGCTAGTTAATAACCCACAATCTTCGCAAAATGAACAATTAGGATAAACATGTTTTTTTTTGTGATTATTAGTCTTAACATAGAGATAAAATAATCAAGTGGTAAATTATAAGGAAAAACAATTATATATACAACAAAATTACATCCAATGTTTCTATTCACTTGTCAAATATTTTCTAATTTAATTTCTCTTTTTATTTGTTATTTTTGACAAATTAATAAAGGACTATATACCTTTAATTTATTAACATTAAATTAATATCTTTGAAAAATAGTAAGTAAATATATTTGAAATTCTATCAATTAATAGGAATAAAATAATATACTCGATATATTAATAGGTTTATCAAGTCAAATCTTGACAGAGAAAGTACATAGGTTATATACCCAAAAGTCAAAACAGGTCGGTTGTGATCATGAGTAAAGGATGACTATGCCCTAGTACTTTAATTGGTGTGGTCAAAGATTTTGAAATTGAATACTGAAAATTAATAGTAGTATTTGACAACTCTGCCGCGGTTAGTATGACTTTAAATGTTCCTGACAAAAACATTTTTGGTTTGACTTATCCTACATGTGATTTGGATCCTCCAATTACCTTACGTTACACATTTTCATCAACTCCCCACATTCTATTGTTTCAACGTTCTCATGACAATTACCTCTTCGATGTAACAATATTTGTACACTATCAATTTAACATATTTTTTTAAGAAATTATAAATAGAAGAGAAATTTTACTATATCACAATTTGAATATAATAAATATAATATACTGAAAAATGTAATAGAAAAATAACTATAATTAATGATAAGAGTAAATTAGGAACTAAGTGTACAATTATCCATTTATTTAATAAAGTAGACAAGTCTTGTTGGACATCTCAAAATAGTATAGTGGACAACTATTGTGGGACGGAGGGAGTAGTATATATGAACATGTCTTGATGCGGAAGGCACCAATCTTCTATAATTCCTAAGAAGTAGCTTTAAGATTTGATATTTATGAGTTTTTATAATTAGCTAGCTATCTCAAGTTAATATTCGTCTTTTTCATGATTCTTTCAATTACGTCAATACAATAAAATATAAAGCAGGTCACAATCAAATACGTGAATTTCTTATAATATATGCAAAAACTATTTGATTTTAACGAACTCATCATATGTTTGTACTCTAGATCATCTTCCTCTGCTTCCATATTATATGAAGATTTTGCACTAATAGTTAAAATTTAAAGAGATCTGGCTGGATATAATTAATTACCCTCCTGCAAGCTATTTATAAATAACTAGTGTTATAAAATTTAACAAGTCACACAAATTACATAGAAACTAATCATACATATAAGTCAAATATCATGAACAGATCAAACTCAAGAAAATCGATAAGATTCAAGGAGATAATTATACCTCTTTGTCCCCGGTGAGATCCTTTTGCTGAGAGGAGTTCGAATTATCCTCCTCATTATGTACTGATTTTCTTTCCTTTCCAACCTGAATTGAAGCATAATAGATCATCTTGTGAGATCTAATAGGATGTTAACTGATTTAATTTAGAGCACTAAGCTTATTTTAATCTTGCCTTTTAAGTTTTATAAATTATACATCATCTGTTTTACACTATCAGGTCATTCAAAAGATATTATATAAATATATATGTATAGTTAGTGTTTTGAATCTTTTCCAATTGATGTCTAGGTATCAAGTGATAGACCTGTTTGAAGTTGTTTCCAATTCTCATGCAAAATATAGATTTAAATTATATATATCCCTGAAATTTTATCGTTTCCCTTTCGAGCTAACATTTAATAGTTTCAACATAATTTCAGAACCATGCAAACATTTTTTCTATAACTCATAAATGTACTATATATGCACTAGTAATTCTATATTCATTGTCTTGTTGAAATCATCAAAATCCAAATCACAAATAGCAAAATATCTAGAGAATTATTGAATGAAATTAAATGATTACCTTAAGATCATTAATATCTTCGACAAAACCTTCCTCACCAGCTTTAATCTTTATGTCCTGTTTGACTACACCTCCATGAATTGATTTTCTGAAAACAGCCTCCATATGCATACACAAACTTATATCTTTCTCTTCTCTATTTTCTGTGAGTACTTCTACCTTTAGCTATATCTGAAAAAGCAATTTTATGGTCTCATTTATAAGGCTAAGCCAACAGTATTTGACTTGTCCAAAATAATTAAATTTCAAACACCACAGACAAAACAAAAAAATGTCAATGGCCCAGTTGCACACAACTTAGGAATATTAGTTTTTTCTTTTCTAATATAGGAAAAACATTTTTAAAATGGTTGAAGAAGAAATCTTCAACGTTTTTAAGTTTTTAATAATTTATATAAATGATAGAAAGAGGATTTTACTCCGTAAGGGTCGGGTCACCGATCCACACCGTGTTTGGGCTGCTAATTGCAACAGCTAATAATAATAATATTGTTGAAGGGAAGTCACATGGCCAGTCAAACAGGTTATATTAGCCATTATAGGAATTTGTCTTTCATAAGTTATAATTAAAATAAATAGTACCTTTTGGGTCAATTGCCAGTAATTGATGAGTCCACTTTTGGATCTTTCAACAGGCAAATCTAACTTACAGTCTATGGTACCCGCTAATCTTATCTCTATTTTTATGGGGTAGAATTCAGATTGTTTTGGTACGATAGACTCTTGGATAAAAAAAAGAAAGAATTAGAAGTATGATAGAAAAAAGAAACTAAGTATGTGACTATTACAATTACGAGAAATGGAGAGGATCGCTAGTCCCCTACCTCACCCACATGAAGTTGTGTGACAACACTTGGCTACTTAACATTCCATACTAAATTCTCGACCTCTATATCTTCTTATCTACAATCATGTCTTCTGTAAGCTGAAGTTGTGTCATTTTCTCTCTAATCACCTCCGCCTAGTTCTTCCTTTATCCCTCCTAATTATATTATAATCAACCTCTCACGCCTTTTTGCGGGAGAATCTACACACTTTCTCATCATATGATTGAACCATCTCAGTGTTGCTTTCCTTATCTTGTCCAGGCCACCACATAGGCCACTCTTAGTTTTTTCCGTGTTTGTTTCTAGTGATCATATCACCCAGTACACATATCCATCAGAGCATGCCTCACCTCCTTTACATTCATTTTTGAAAGTCGGCATTCTTGATTGACCAACGCTCTGGCCTAACAAAGTTGGTTGAACTATCAGTAGGACTTACCTTTAAGCCTTGACGACACATTGGGTCATCTATTTAATTAAAACCTCACACGTGTCATTATATTATTTTTTTCAAATAAAGGGCATTTTTAATCTGAAAATTAATATTAAGGGCAACTGAGTTACATATATATTATAGGTGCAAGGGAGACATTGTAAACATGAAAATTGAAAATCAACATTAATGATGATTAGTGTTTAGGTGAAATTAAGGAGGGCAGATTAAAATAATTTCTAATTATAAGTTAGTGACATTTGTTGAATAAAATTGAATACATGACCTTTTCTACAATAACATTCAACTAATTAAGCCATCCGTATAAGACTCCGATCCTATGTGCTCCCTAAACTGATAATGAATAGTATTCGTTGATTCAAAGTGATTTGTAATTCTTCCTTGATAGCGCTTTGTGAAAAATTGTTCATCTAATAATTAAAGGGGGATATGGAATGGAATCACCTTGTTTTACCCTTAGAAGCGAATTCAAATATAGTCGAACTTCAATTCAAATATCAGATCTAGAATTTCAAACGTCGCGTGGGAAAAAAATATATGATGTAGCGTGTGTAATTAATTATGTATTCAAGTCTAACTTAAGGTAATTTATTAACTTGCTTAATTCAGACGTGCAGGTTGACAATCCAATTACTTTAATAGTAAAATTCTGTTAGTGCACACCCTAACTAGATTGATGATCATTTTAATTATTAATACTTCTCAATGACATTATATTATGCGAAAATTAGTAAAATTAATCAACTTGTAGTTATCCAATATAATGACAGGAAAGAGTCTTGAGTCTTATATTGTATATTGAACAACTATTAAAAAAAGAGAGTAAAGAATTAGCAATGAGAGATTAGTCGTGGATTATAAAAAAGGTTTACATTAGATATATGTTATTTAACGATAAATCAATGATGAATTTTTAATTTCTATTTTTTCTTATAGTTATATAAAATGTTTACTGAGCTGTGTGAAGGACGCGTACGACTCGTCTGGCTGCTGCAACTACCTAACTCTTTAATCTTTATATAATAATATAAATATAACATACTCCTATCAGTTTTACAATCAATGTATGCTTTTTTAATTAAATCTCACGTGAATATGTGCTTCATTTCAACGTCTTTGTCAAATTCAACAGGGAAGAGTACCACTTGCTAAGCGCGTCAAAATTAGTCCATAAAATTATGATCGTTTGATATTTTTTAGATTTGAATTGGATAATGATTTATTTATTTTAACTAATTCAATTTAGCTAGTTTAAAAATTAAATTGATATATAATTTATATTAACCCATGAAATTTTTTGTCAAAATATATTTAAGATGGCATTTTTTTCTTTATTTTAGTAAAAATAATAATTAAATACGTAAACAAATTACAAAAAAAAAAAATTAAAATTTAGTTGTTTACTTTTTACGTGCATCAGCTCAAGTAACCTTTTGGCAAATCATTACATTTAAGCAGGTTATTAACTCAATTCATTACGACCCGTCAAAATTTAATCCAAATTGCTGATTTAACACCCATGCCCTTGCTATAAGGGAGGATTTGATATGAACATGGGGTCTTTTGACCTTGCACTTTTTAAATTTTGCAGCTGCTTGAGTGACTTTTCTTGCTTTTAGACCATGAAATATTTATTATAAAGTCAGCATATTAACCACCCTCTCTATTATTTCCCATCCTCAAATAGGTCTTGAGATCGAGGTTAGGCTCTATGTATTGTTAAAGAAAAATAAAAATAAACAAGATAAATTTATAGCTATACATTAAAATTCATATATAATTTTATTTAATAATGAATTAGTAAAAAATCATGTTAGTTTCAATTAATTTAGCAACAAATTAGCGATAAAATTCATGACTAATTTCAATTATTTTGTAGTGATCTTCGTTCCTTCTATTTATTGCCTTTTTGTTCACAATTTGTAGAGATAATTAATAACTAGATTTTGTGGGTCATAAATAGACTATAGGACATGCATTTTGATTTCTGTATATGTTTCCACACCTAATATATAGCTAGGTTAGAGGCACATACGTATTAATAAGATGTAATGGTATATAAATATACATATTGTTTGTGTCCAAGTTATGAATTTATCTAAATCTAGTAATTTTATGTCAAATTCTATATATATATATATATTAAAATGTTCACAAAATAAATATAAATAATATAAATGGTATAAAGTGTAATAAAATCATGAACTCAAACTTGTAAAATACAAATTTTGAATTTATTTATTTTTTTCGACAGAAAGAAGTAATGGTGGATCCTCCTTTGACTTAATTGAGGAAGGAGTTGTTATGCCTAATATATAGGCAACAGTTATGCCTTGACATGTTATTAATTAATTATCATATGGTCAATGACCTTTCAATATCTTATATAGTTATATACTTATATTACTGTATTATTGGGATAAAATTTTTTTATTAAATAAGTTGTTTCATCATGCAGATATTTTATTTTATTTATTCAGAAACATGATCCAAGAACTAACAAATTTAAATATATTATAATACAGTTTAGGACTTTGTTACAAACCAGTCATATAAGCAAATTAAAATAGGAGCCAGTGGCCATGTAATATATTATGAAGGAGTTGACCATCAACTAAATAAATTGGATAATCCAATAATCATATGCGAATTTGAGTTCTCTAATTTCAAAATCTTTAAAGCGTTTTTACATTGAACCTATTATATTGTTATAATTATGGAGTCCAAATTTACTACTTATTTGTTATAATTTTAATAAAGTTATACGTGTTTCGTATTAAAAAGATTTTTTTAACTAGATTTTCATTTTCTTGATCGTCTCATTTGCATCTTTTGACATAAAGTTAGAGGTGTGCGCTCTAGAGATAAGAACATCATAACATTGTCCTGTATTGTTTTCATCGGATATTCTTCATTTTAAAAGTTCTAACGATAACAATGAAAATTAAATAAAGTCTCAGTCTCAACGATCTTATCGTTGAGGCATCTCCAAGCTACAAATGAGATATTCAAAGAAGTGAAATCCTAGATAAAAGACTATTAGGCTTCTATAGGCCGCCAAGCATTCTTTAAGACGATTTAAGAGAGAAGTGCACAGATGATCGATTTAAGCTATAATATTTTGCAAATTTAATAGATTTTTCCTTGTCAATAATCCTACAATTTGCGTAGGTCAGACTATTTTTGAATAGTGTGAAAGAGTCAACGATCATCAACAAATTCTCAAAAGTCCAAATTATTTATTCCTCGTGCCAGCTAATTAAAAACTAGCCAATCAAGATAGAAGCTGATCAGATTTATGTAATAAAATATTTACAATTTGGACTTGAGTGGTGCCAGGTCAAAATTATTATATATCCTCGATATATATATACGACTTTGCTTTGCATTTCAATTTCACATTCAAATAAAAATCGGCGTGAATATATATATATCTAAATAGTTGACCACCATGTCATGTTAATGTAATTTAAGCATACTTTCATTTTGTTTATGTAGGTTGGTTATGTTATCTACTGTATTCATATTATAAAGATGAAATAGATAAAAAATAAATAATTCGAGTTCACAGAATTTATGGTGTATTTTTAAGAAATTTAATCCCCTCAAGTACTTGAGGTTGTAAATTAATTTCTCTCAAGATAAAACAGATTGACTATTAAAGAAGTAGTGGTACCTCAAATTTCAATAATTTCAGCGAACTCAAAAAATAGCAACGAGAGCACACACAGACTCAGTCGATTGACAATTTGATTTGTAAGAAAATGTATGCAGAAGAGAGAAAATTTTCAGTGTTTGAAAAATGAGAGAAATCTCTTTATTTATAGTGACAAGAGTGTGAACGCATCCATTACGCAAATTAATTATACTTAATTCATTCTTTTTTTAAAAAAATTAATTAATAAGATCGATTAAATAAATTTTGCCTAAAAAATAATCAATCAATTGTCAAAGCTGAGGGAGAGTGACAACGACGGCGCGAGGGCACTTTCTAGAGCTAAAGGAAGTGTTTCCTAACATTATGACAATCCTTTTCCTTTCTTCTATCAACATGAGAGAAGTGACTTTTCATTTTCAAAGACTTTCATTTAAAATAACTTTTCATTTTCTCTGCAAATTGATTTCTCACATTTTCCAATTTCTCATTCATACTTTGCTAAAACCCAATAGGTTGGTCATTATATTTATTCAATCATAGTTGTAGTATCGTCCATCACTTTGCGCATAGCAAAATCTTACTACATTGGGCTACCTTTTTCGTCATTCCATTAATTTTATTTTTATCGAAAAATAGTCCAAATTAAAGACCCTCTGATCTACTGGCTACCTCTTGTAATCTTAACATTTCTTATGGTTAAAAATATATATATTAAACTAGCTAGCTTATTTAATTTTTATTTTATTGTGATAAATTATATTTTGAATGATAAAAAGAAATTATAATATCCCAGGACGGTGCTTTAATTTGTGATATTGATTATTTATGCTAGTTTTTACAACACAAACAAAAGTTAGAGCAACAAAATTTATCCGTTGCTAAATTCAGTTTTTTTTAGAAGCAACTCTATATTGCAATTGTAGAGTTTGTTGAAGTACTACAATTTCTGTATCTCGGATAATTGTGAGAGGATTAAATTCTTAAGGAAACATAATCTTTTGTTGGGTTTGAACACAAGGATAAGTAATGTATTGAAATGTTACTTCAGGCATACGGGTCTGAAGTTGGGACTATCTAGTACCTATTGCTTTTTTTTTTTGGTTAATATGTTGAGCTGGGGGCTCCTTTATTCCAATGTGAAATCTGTACAAACTAGCCCAATCGACCCCAAAAGAAAACTGTTGGTATGTTAGCATTTTAATATTAATATTTTAATATATTAATTTACTTTATTTGGAGCTACAAGAATGCTGAATGTTTCAGCAGTTAATGGGCACTTATCATTGCTGCCGTTGGTAGTCATTTGTGACTAATTACTCACTTTGGTTAATCACTGTGCATATGTATTATTGCCATTATTTGGTGGTTACAAAAAGGTCCATTGGAGGTTACTTGCTGGACACAAGAAAAACGTTCCAGAGAACGTTGGTTCAACAATTTTGGCCAGCATCTTCACCCCTCACTTTATTTCATTCTTTAATCCTCCATTATACCTTATAACCTATGTAACTCCTAAGGTCATTATCTTCACTATTTACTATACTATTTATCTTTCTATTCATTGCTAGAAAGACTTCTTCTGGTATAAATAGTGATGGTATTCATTTGGTTTGAGACACACAACACACAAGAAAATATAGAGTGCATAAAAGTTAGTCAAAAGAGAGTTCTTATTAGTTGAAGGAAGGTGTTCTTTTTGTGGAGCTTTGGACTCAACTCTTGTCCAGAGTTGTTGAGTTATATATTGTGATTAGGTTGTTGTATCCTGGAGGGGACAAGTCAAGAAGGACTACTGTTGGACTGGTGAAAACATTTGCTGCAGTGGGCTTGAATCTCCTTAAAGAGAGCGAGATATCTGCGCTTCAGCCTGAAGAGATTTATTTCTTCATTTTTATTTTCAACTACAGTATTTTCTTACATTTTCGAAAACAAAATGTTGCTTTTCAAATGAAAATAGTAATGGTGACGGAGAGGTGAGGTGGTTGAAGAATCTACAAAGAGAATGGTGGATGGTGATGATTGTGGCAGCGGCGAAATGGTGATGGTGTTGGAAGGAGTTATGGAGGAAGAAAGGAGAAGAAAAAGATTTTTAAAAATAGCCAAATATACTTCTCACGCGCTGCATATGTGTGTTAGACACTTTCCATGTCATGTCAACAAAAAATGTTTAATAGGTATTCATTTTGAATAATGTAAGTGTTCAATAGGAATATGCTATACTTGAGGTGTCTAAATGAAATCTGCAAATAACTTTAAGTGGCGTTGGATGATTTAAGCCTTTTGATTATTATTATTTTGTGTCAAATAGATATAAATTTGTTAAGATTTATGTGTTCAATGAGTACAAGGCTTTATTCAGGTGTCTAAGTGAAAAATGTGGACAACTTTAAGAGGCCGCATATGACTTAAGCCTTGATGTAATGTAGTCATTTGTAGTCAACCATCGATGAAGAAAAAAACAGAAAAGAGCTTTAAACGTTTAATTTTACTGAATGGTTATTTTCTTAAGTATGATGGCTAAATATTAAATAGTGACCCAAAATCTGGCCAGCCCACATCATTTGTATGTAACCAGCCCATGGTTACACTTAGCAAGTCCATTCATTTGTGGGCCTTCTAGTTGGAAATGATCCAAATCGAGTTATCCATTGGGCCAAAGTGAACACAAATACAATTTTAGAACAACCTTCCAAATCAAAATTCATATTTCATAATTCATAGTTTGAAAATATTTGTAAGTCTAATCGGAATAACTTCCACAGTGGCGTACGCATAACCTTTAGTAAACGATGTGTTGCACATGTCATGCGCCCAACCAACAGGCCAAGATTAGTTATTTGTTCATGTATTATGATTTTATTTTAATAGTAGTCATGTTTTGTGTAAATAAAGAATTCTGAGGAAGCAGTGTCGGTTGACACCTCTTACCTCTTGGTATAAGGTGGGTCTGTCATGCGCCCAACCAACAGGCCAAGATTAGTTATTTGTTCATGTATTATGATTTTATTTTAATAGTAGTCATGTTTTGTATAAATAAAGAATTCTGAGGAAGCAGTGTCGGTTGACACCTCTTACCTCTTGGTATAAGGTGGGTCCGCCCCTGGACTTCCATATACATATAAATGAAGTTTATTCACATATAACTAAATCCACACAAAGGCACATATGATATGATTATATTTCAGCCATTTTTTCCCTAAACTGAACAGACCAATTGGAATACAAGATATTTTGGCTATTAATTGGAAGAGTTATAAATAAGGAAAGTTACATATTTGGTTTGCCGGCCAAAATAATTACATTCGCCTAGCCAACTATATATAAAAAGATACACTATTTGTATCAAAATTGTATATTATGTGTATATCATACAATAATATACAAAAAAAAATATACATTTGCTAGGGTCTTTAATCTACAGTTTGATTGTTGGACCGTCATATGTTCCTCCTAACACAACAAACTGCTCATCTTTTCGTTCTTCAAGCCATGCATATGATCTTGTCTCATCTTCCTTCATCTTCATTTCTTTATTACCATCTGCATACAGTTCCATTCACAAATTAATATAACTATATAAGTAAAAATCAATTTATAGAAGTAGTATTTATTCGACAAAATATATTATTTCATACCGGAAAAACTTATGTGATCATACGAGTAATGTTGATAATATGTACAGTGACGGCCTTCAGGTTCAGAGTATGGTGGTCCTAAAACATCAAGTAGGATACATGGTGTTAGGGCCTTGAAGCAATGCATATTTCCTCCTGATTCTGGAAATAGGACTGAAGATTTGCATGGTGCAGTGAAGTCTGCGTCAACATATACTTTTGCCAGCCTCATCCTAGATTCTTGTTGCCCGCGATCTATAAATAACATACTTTTAAATTTATCGTTTTAAACATGTCATGTGACAAACAAAATGGGAAAAAGACGGATCAGGCTTATACATATATAGTACAACTAGCTAGCTAGCTATAATAAATGGTAATATTAAAGCAACTAACTAATTTGATACATAATTAACTTTTTAGTGCTTATAGTGTAAACATTATTTATACTATATAAAAATCGACGCATGCTCTATTAATTAGTGTCAATTATGCACTAAGTCCACCTTCAATTGTCATGTTGCGTTTTTCAAAAGTTAATTTGACTAATTTTTAAAGTTAATTTAGATTACATTAATTTAATATTTTAAACAAAAACTTTAGATATTTAAAAACTATACGAAAAGTACTATAAATTGCAATTTTTTGTATATCAATATGATGAAAAAGTACATTGTAAAATGTTAGTCAAAGTTCTTATAGTTTGACTCTAAAAAAGAAAACCATGACAATTAAATGTGGACGGAGGGAGTAGTAAATTACTTAAGAACCATGTTAATTAATTCTATATATATAAAATTAAAGATTTTTCTTACAATGATTAGCCTGGTGGTCGTGATTGTGCACCCAATCATATGACGTGGCGTGCATGGTTCCTGATAGAAGCTTGCTGAGGACAGTCATGCCAGGATGATTATGAAGAGGAATTACTCCTGAAGGTGGCAAACAGAAGATCCCAATCTACACTTAGAAAAAATGAGTTCAAACTAATTAATTAAATTTCTTCCACAACACCAACAAACGTTTTTTAATTAATTTAATTAAAATAGTGTGAAGGATAAAAAAAAATACACCTAAAATATCTCAATTTTTTGAGTTTCATATCTGAACAAGCTCATGTGTGCGACAGTGCGAGTATATGCCCTACCTGAACTATCACGGAATATTTATTGATACAGTACATCTGAACTATCAGTATTTCACTTTTTCAACCTGAAATATAAATTGTGATATTTCATGTAGAAAAAGGGACAAACTGATAATTGAGGTGTGTGTTTCGATAAATAATTAGGATAGGAACTCAAAAAATTCGAATACTTTAGATGATTTTTTGACGTTTCGAACTCTTTAAAAATAGTACCGAAAATTTGTTGCATTCGTGGATCTTAATGTAGGTAACAAGAGGAGCTTCCACTGTTCCAGGAGGATTTGTACTCGAAAATTCCAAGCTTGGTGCTGTAAACTTGAAATCTTTTGGTTCCAGACTATCTGCCATACGTTATATAATAATAATACAAAGTTATGTATAATTAGGCAAATATAACAAACTTCCGTCACTCCTTAAGGTTATCTGTTGTATCATACTACGTCTTGCATTTGCATTATGTTGTACATACTCTTTCACTAATGGCTTATGAATTAATTTCATAAAGTTATAAATTAAATCATTCAAATATATTACATCTCGAAAAGAAATAAAAAAAACGAGAAGGAAATATAATGAAGAGGTAATTGAGAGATTAAAATTGAATAAATAAAATTAGTACTAGAATATTTTTACTTTATAAAGTTCGATATTGAAATAATAAGGCTTATCTCCCATTATATATTTTAAAATAAATATATCATGAGTAAGCAATTTAGTAGAGATATATACAAACGGACACAATCTGGCGTTAGGATAAAGTTTATTTAGGTGTAACAAGCTTCATTAGCTCATTAATTAATTAATTAAGCCACGTAGTGACGTTTGAAAATTTTGAAAGAGAGTACGTACGTCGTCAATAAATAGAGGAAATTAATGGCTCCTAAATTCCAAATACTTGTAATAAATCATTCACTTGGTAAAATGTCACATCAATATCTAATTAAAATAAATAAAAAGAGGAGTAAACAAAGTAGATAGATTCAAAACTTAAACTTCGAGATCTGAATGTGGAATTATGGAAATGTATATTTAACTTATCCAGACTTTTTTTGTCATGTTAATATTCATTGAGTTTAACTTCGAAATACAAATTAAGATGAATAATTGCAATATTAAGAGGTTGATTAAACTTTTTATGTATGTTTATTTTGATTTTTTGAAGTGAAAATCCTGACTACAATCACAAATAAGTAAAATTAGACATTTGATTTTTTGAAGTGAAAATCCTGACTACAATCATAAATAAGTAAAATTAGACATAGATACATAATGTTGAAATCTTTAAACTTTTTATGTATGGTTATTTTGAAATCTTTGGAAGTGAAAATCCTGACTACGCACCACGAACGAGTAAAATTAGACATAGATACATACCTAATAAGGAGGTTAGTCGTTGGATGTCATGAGGAGGAGGAACATAGCCAGCCTTACCATTTGCAAATATTTGCTTGCAAGTATCATACAACTTTTGAACCATATTCTCCCTTGAACTCTTTCTCTTTTCAGATTCCATCTTTTTCTTCTTCTTCTTCTTCTTCGATATATTAGAAGAATTATGTCCTGATACACTTTTTTTACTTAGCAAAATCCTCCCAATATTCATGCAGGAAAATTAATTAGCACACAGAGAGAACTCAAAAAAATTAAATTTGAGAACTAGTCTTCCAATTTACTTGAAATTAATTAATCTTGATGGGCATCGATCTATATATATTTGGGGGCTGGTGAAGATAGGTACGTAGTAGCCAGGTGGTGGGGATGTTGTTTGATAGCTGTAAAATTACGAGGATTTTATAGTGAAAAGTATTATTTCTTTCGTCTTAATTAATATGACACGGTTCAATTTAATATAAAAAATAATAAAAATTATCTATAGATTGATCAGGCTATATATACATGTATATTAAGAAAAAACAGTTTTAAAATTAAGTTTTTTTACTATAGAATATAAAGAATAATATTTTTTTTAAACCGATTAAAAAGAAAAATATATTGGGAGAGATAGATTTATTTTTACGTTATTACTCAACTAATTGTGGAAGTCAAAGGTTACTAAAACCAGGGGCCATGCAAAACCATTACTATGTGCTACAAGAGAGAGCAGACAGTGGATTTTTATCAATTTGGAATGCTCTCTCCAATTATTCTACGACAAATTTCATGACTAGTTTTAACGGCTTACGCACACCATTGTGACCAAAAATGATGTAATGATATACGTATTGTTCGAGAAATTCGTCTGAAGCCAACCCTTTAATTGTAACGCTTATCTTCTAAAAAAAACTTTGTTCATTTTAAAACGAATAATCTAATTTGACTTTATATGAAGTTTGAAAAATAAAGTGTTGTGACTTTAAGCTTTTAATCTTGTAATCTTAAATATATCAGGTGAAAGACTGAAATGAAAGAATTATATTTATCAATCATGCTTTTAACAAAAATGATTTGAAAGTGTATTTTAATTTTAAATTGTATTTCAATTTTGTCGGTTGAGCTGTTGGAATATGTTCAGCAATTCTCATATTCACACATACTATTTAACTTTATTACGTAGTATTTATTTTGGGTTATTCTTGTATAATCATTACTCCAAGTGAAAAATGAGTTTTTTGATGCTTAAAATTCAGTTGTGCTGTATCCACTTGTGTATTTCTTTGAATTAATATCAGACCTTATGGCCATAACCATAGTCCATACTCCATAGGCATATTATTCGTTAATTCAGTTTATTTTTCCAGTCTCCCCTGTGAGTCGTGCTTTTTTCAAAAGTCATAGACGGATTATTATGTACATATAAATGTGAATGCGTTTACATTTGTATTCTTGTGTTCATATTTTATTAAATAAAAATCTGCCAACTACTATCACTTATCTTTGTTGGCAAATTTGTCAGATCTTACAAAGCATTAATTTTTATGAAACTTCCAAGTAATGAATCTTACTAAGGTCTTAGACATTTTCACTCCCAATAATAGCCCAATGCCCCAATTCCATTTAAAGTCAATAGTATTGCAATAATAAAAAAAAAAACTTGTATATACAATGTAATTTTTGTTGTCCCTTTCAATAGCCTAGCTCCGCCCATGCTTACAGTTTTGCCAGGGTTGCTCTATTTGCACCTGTACTTGGATCAAAAACCATGGTTTTGGTTGCCTTTGCAACAGTTTTCTGATCTTAGTACTCTCTTCCTCAGACTAAATGCTGATATTTCGAAAATAGAAAATTAATACTAAAGGATATAATATTAAGTATACACCATGCCTCTCTCTTTCAAAGAAATATAGTGATGAGATTGAGGCTTAGCTATCAAATTATCAGTGTTATAGTTTCCAACTGAGTAATCTCATGCATAAAATAATATCTGCTGACTGCTGACATTAGTCGATAAATACAAATCAGATTTTCCCCCAAAAATCCAGATTTAAACTATTACAAGCTGACTTCCATAGCAAAAAAATTCTTCATCATTACTGCTCTTTGTGCAATCAGCCAAATCATAGGGGAGGGGAAAGGAAAAGGAAATGTCCAAAAAACCAGATACGTTGGTTTGGCGTTGCATCAAAAGCCTGCTGTAAGCGCAAAAACTCTGCCTGCCAAAGGTGGAGGTATTGCAGAAATAGCCTCCTGAATAACCTGATAAGTGAATTTTATTTTGTTAGAATGTTATAAAAGCAATGAAACAAGATGGTCCTAGAATTAGATCCTTTCTCTACTGGGGGAAAGATCGATTAATTGGTAAACCTTAATAACATGAAATGGTAGGATGCCACACTTTCCTACACACATTCCTACCACAAATGATGATAGGATTCCAAAATGCTGTACGGAAGCACTATGTTGTAAAATTACTAAATTGCATGTTATTAATTGGTTTTTGGGAGAATGAAAAGAGACCACAAGTGGATAGTTCCGACCAATATAGTGAAGACAGACATAAGAAATTAAACACGGTTGAATTCCATTTCTATCCTATATACCAACTTTCCACAAACCAAAATAGTAGAGAGACAGTAAAAATTTGAGAGTATGTCATCCCATGAACGAGAAAATATTGCTGGACTTCTTAGGGAAGCTCAACCAGAGTAATTTCTAGAAGTTCTGAATCTAGGACACTTGGTTAGATTTGGTGACAGCTTGGTGTGTGCATCAAGAGAGAGTGAGAGAATCAAACTTACATCCAACTGATAGCGGGCCGAAAAGTGGATTAAAAGGATGGCTTTGTTCTGAAACATGTCTGCGAAATTGATAATCTGGTAGGATGTCATCAACGCATAAAGAAAAGTATATCAGACTTCCAATAATTTTATAACGCATTCAGGATTTATTTTTCTATCTTCCAGTAAAATCTTGAGGTTAATCAAAAGTGATTATCAGGAATTAATGCAAAAAGAATTACCTCAGACAGATGAGTATGTCCATATTCTCTTGCATTATCTGCTGTTGTTTTGTCCTCCACATAAGTGCTCTGGAGAAGAATCACAAAGAAGAACTTAAATCTCTGTAACCAGTAATGTTGAAAAGGCAAATTGAACTAAAGATCTTCCCACTGCTAATTCTACTGTACCAGCTATGATGTTATTTGCATAGGAGTACGTGAACACAAGTAACGATGCTCTCCGAGCGTAAGTTATTAGTAAGAGATTAATATGCTAATTAGTTAATCCAATTGTGTCGTCGTCATAAGGATAAGTGATACATACTAGTCGGCAACTTTGTTAACTCCATAAGTTGATGAATTCATGTTGTTGATATAGTTGGATTATACAAAAATGCATAGGAGACCTTCTAAAAATTAACTCAGCAAAGTGTCATAAGTTGAAGATGACACAATAGGCAGTAAGAGTGTGAAAAATCAAACAGTGGTCCTCAAGGCCTTATGTTATGCTCCTTGGGAGTGTTTGCTAAAATTTAAGAAAGATACTGGAGTCATTAGATGCCCAGATAGTATATATTAGATATAGACCAGAAGTAGAAGAGCCACATAAATCTCATACTGAAAATATTCTTTCAAGGAAGGAAAAAATGGCTACAATGAGTCGTGGAATTTGAGCGTCATGTTTCAGGCGAGGTACATTTTTGGCAGTAGATGAAGACAGGGAATTTACCTCCATTATGAGGATTTTTGCCCTCAAAACATCAACATTTTTGGGATCCTTAATGAAGTCTGACATTGTATCTCCTGTAAATGCAATTTCAGGTGCTGTTGAAGTGTTTGTGATCTGTTAAAACCAAAGAATCTTTGTCAAACTGATACTGTGATACATAAGATATGCAGGAAGTTTATTGCAGATGCACTCTTGTGCAAGATTATATACCAAAAAAGGCTGCACAGGTGCAGGGTGCACCTGCGTCAAAAAGAAATTGCTCAATGTAAAAGCACCCCTTGGGTTGGAATTTAAACCAACCTTAATAAACAAATGCAATCAGATAAATTCCTAACCAATTATGATATCATGACAGACCTCCACACCTGATAACTTTAACTTCTTAATCTCATCTCCTGGAAGGCCTACATGTTCTTGCTTAAGCTTCTGCTTGATTGAATATACTATATAACCCTACACCATAAAAATCAGGTGATTAAAACCTCAAATAGACAACAGTAATATAAGAAGAGATCAAAATGCAAAGGTCATAACATCCGACTGTAGCAGCTGCTTTCTCTCGTAGAAATAACAAAGCATATTTTTTGGTTCGAATCCACTTAATACCGGCAAAAAAGAAGCATGGGCAGGGAAAATAAGCAATTGAAACTCAGAGCATTAAGGAAAGCACTCAACCTGGCTAGGAATGACATGATAAGTCTTAAATGCTCTAACTTTAAGATCCTTCCTCAAGTAAAATTCTTCTCCTGTGTATGCACAAACACATATTCACTTAAATTGTGAAATTAGAACTAACTCCAACTTTGTAATAACTAATTAGGAGCGCTATATAAACAATACAAATAGATTTTTACCCACATCCAACCCAATCAAAGTATGGTTCAGTTCTGAGTGATCCATAGCTCGGTGAGCTTCAAAAAGCTTCTCAACACTTTCTTTGATTACTTTTGGTACAATAATAGTAGGAGGCCTCATTCTGTAAAGGGAACGAGTCGCAACATACATAGGCAGTCCTCCTATGTGGTCCATGTGGCCATGAGAGATGAAAAGGAACTGTTGGGAGATGGCACGCTGAGGACACTTGCCAATATCAAAGGCTAAGTTAAGCGAGGGAACTATTATGCACGTCTCATGACCTGCTATTGATATCCCTTCTAGAGAGTATCCTTCAATCTGCAAGCCCCTTTCCCTCTTCTGGCTACTGTTACCCCTCCGATTTGTGTTGATCGATTCAGAATCTTTTGTTATTTTATCCTCCATTTTGCGTAACAATGATGGACTTCAACTCTGGAAGAGATTAGAACAGAGGGGAGGATAAAACAAGACTTTAGAAGGACACTAAACACTTCTTTTTTTATTTAATGATGTAAGTAAAATGTAAATTTTAGTAATGAAACCCATTCAGTACCAAACTAGTACAGAAATACTACAGAGTAGAGGAATCCTTTATATCTATAAGGATTCCAGAAATCCAAAAATAGCATCAGTGTCATTAGAAAACTCAGCATTTCACAACACTTTTAGGACACTATACACTTTCTAACACTGAATATTTTTCATAGACAAAAATTTACTTCTACAGAATATGTGAGATATTAACTATCAAGTTGTCGAATACACTCATCTTAACTCAAAGGTCCACAAGGGTAGATTCACTTGGATTTAAGAGGCATTTGAGATCAAATAAATATTAGGATGACTAGAAATTAAACCTGGAATTTATTTAATCAGAATTATTTGGTAAATGACTTAAATTCAACATTTCCACCCATCCCACTAATACAATGATGAATAGACTCGATTTTTTTTTACTTCCTTAAACTATGTGTCAAATCAAAACCAGACAAACAAATTGAAACGGAGTGTGAACAATTATACAAACTTCAGCATTTGTTTAATACAATTCTACACATAAAAAATGAATTACTTGTGATACTCATCATTAAGCTCAATTAAATATTACTCCTAGGTTACTACCAATTTACAAGAACAAAAAAATCATGAAGTATCAAACTGCTTGAATAAATAGAATCTACATTAGTCATTAGAAAGAGGTGAGGGCAGAGACTTACAGTAAATAGTGACGAGGGACGAAGGAGAAGCTTTATATGTAAGTTGGTTGCCGCTTTGAGGTGTTTTTCCGGTAAGGATTTCCCGGTGAGAGATATGGGACTAGGGCAGAGGTCTCTATTGCGGAGGAAGAAGACGGGTTTGGGTTTTTGAGGGGGTGGATTTGATTAAAATTACTAAACTGATACCTTATGTTTGAGGTAGGTTTAAGATAGTTCATTAAATATATTTTTGAACTGTTTTGGTCCTTTACGTTTTTTTAGGCACTTTACTTTCAAGCACATTTAGCTTATAAAAAGTCAAAAAAAAAAAGGGAAAAAAAAAAGAGAAAATTATGCCGGATGACAAACGTTAGGTACTATAGCTACTTAAAAAAATTGTAATTTGCGGCTACGTTTCTCCAATTCTAGCTATTCACTTGATTTGTATAGTTCATCTGATTTGTATATTTCAAAATTTGTATAATTCAATTCTTGATTTTATAAATTCAGAATTTTATAATGTTTACCTAAGCTATTTGCATACGATTTATGAAAAAATTCATAATAAATTATCCTGTTTGTATATTGGTAAAAGAAATATACAAATGAAATTTTGAAAAAAATTTAAATGTATGAATACAGAATTTGTATATACTTTACCTTATTTGTATATTCGCAAGCGAAATATACAAATCGTAACTTCCATAGCAAATAAAACTATAGCTATGGAGGCAATTATCAAAACTATAGCTAGAAAACCTTATTATGTTTGCTATTTCCAAAAAAAAAGAAGCCAAAAGTCAAAAGTAAATGGCTATCTACTTTTGATTTTTGAAGTTTGACTTTTAAACCGCTTAAAAAAAAGCTTATCTAAACACTTCCCAGTCTCTTGGTTGGTATTTAATAAATATAGTATTACTAATTATTGTTTCTATGGTAATTTTATTTTTCTTTCTAGAATATGTTAGACAATTTTAATGTAAGAAACTACATCAATAATATGATTAGAATTCGAGGAGGCTGGCTAAATCGTATTCCTTTCTTTTTTTTCGTGAATGTAAATGCTGCTGAATTGTTAGGAATCATAGACAATAGTGCTCAGAAATTGATAGTCTCTTGTGGATTTTTATTAACGCTAGTTTCTGGGTGCATTTGTAGCCTATAAAAAGGGTGGAGAAAAGATAGTAGTATTAATATCCTTTCTTCCACATGGTTGTTGAAACAAAATCCGTCGTAGCAAATTTAGAAGGTGATATAATATCACATTATAAATTAGAATAGATAGACTAATTGTTGACCGTTTAGAGTAAATTAAAAAGTGGTTCTCCACTTTTCCCTCGCAACTTCTTAATTTACTATGGAGGATATTAAGCTGAACTCTATCCATTTTTATGACAAATCATTCATCTTTTTACTTAAACGAAGAAAAATAAGAATATTAAAGAGAGATTAAAAAATATAACGAGGGAAACACAATATAATTTGTACGTATGATTATAAAAAATGGGATTGACAAAGCGTAATTTGTTTTTGTTCTTTGTTTTGGTTGTTCTAGTTGTTAGCATTGAGGCACATATTAAGGAATTTGATGATGTGTGGAAGAAGCGAGCCCAACAAGCAAAGAAGGCCGCTCGACATGCCTATAATCCTAATCCTAAGATTGTTGCTGACCATCTTAACTACCAAGTTGACAAGTAAGTTCCCTCTCATTTCTTCCTTTTTATATTATTTTCCCTGTGCCATAGACCATAGTATTTTTCAGAATTCATTCCATGTGAAAAATCGTGTAGGTAGGAACTCTTCATTCATTGGACAATTTCTCGTATGATTATTTACGTGAATTCAAGTTCCCATTGATTGCCTCCCTTTATTATATATTGGGCTACTGGCGGACCTCTAACCTAAAAGTTCTAGTTAAAAGAGGCGATCTCTAGATGCCGTATAATTGTCCTTTTAGTTTATTTCCGCTTGTACTTGTTGATACGGCTACATATACTAGTGGAAATAAGTTAGGTCCAAGATCTATTTTTTCAACATGATATCAAAGTACGTAGGGCCAATCAATTCTTGTATCACCTAGGCCTCCATATTATCTTGTTCACTCTCTAGTTGTCAAGTATAGGCGTGTAAAGGTGTTACTAGTCCCACATGATCGGAAAATGGATGACAATTTGTCTCCTTATATGGTCTTGGACATTCCTCACAAGTTGAGGCATAAATAGTAAAAAAGTTAAACCCAAAGTTCATTTCTTTATCACCCTTTTCATTTTTCTATTTGGAGCTGGGTAGGAAATTAAGAATGCAAGTTGAACGCAGCATTTTAATCCTATAGGACGACTCTAGTATTATTAATATTATATACGATAAATTATGTACATATTTAATTGACTGACTCTAAATTTTGAATCTGCTTCTGAATTTAAAGGGTTGTACGAGGCAGCAATAGCAGAAGAAGGGACCTGCACAGGTACAACGGAAAATGCATGGCTATTAATCCTATAGACCAGTGCTGGAGGTGTGATCCAAACTGGGCTCGGAACCGCATGAAATTAACAGATTGCGTCCTTGGCTTTGGTCGCAAGACGACGGGAGGCAAAGGTGGAAAAATCTATGTAGTAATGGACAATTCAGACAACGAATTAGTTAATCCTAAGCCGGGCACATTGCGCCACGCTGTGATCCAGCCAGAGCCACTTTGGATTATATTTGCTAAGAATATGGTAATTAGGCTTAACCAGGAGCTTATCATGACAAGCAACAAGACGATTGATGCTCGAGGAAGGCAAGTGCACATTGCTCATGGTGGTGGCCTTATGTTACAGTTTGTACACAATGTGATTATTAGTAACCTTCACATTCATGATACTAAGGCTGGTAGTGGTGGGTTAATTAGAGACTCTGTCAGTCATTATGGTTATCGATCGAAAAGTGATGGTGATGGAATTTCAATCTTTGGATCAACAAATGTTTGGATCGATCACATTTCCATGTCCAATTGTCAGGATGGTCTCATTGATGCTGTTGAGGGTTCCACTGCCATTACCATTTCCAATTGCCATTTCACCAAGCATAATGATGTAAATCATCTCCAAATTCCAACTCCCAAGTCCTATCTACTTGATTTTGTTTTTTCTAATCAGAATGAAACACAAAAGTTTGATTTTTTTGCTAAAATTTTGTAGGTCATGTTGTTTGGTGCCAGTGATACTGCCTCAGGGGACTCTGTTATGCAAATCACACTTGCATTCAATCACTTTGGGCACGGTTTGACGCAGAGGATGCCGAGAGTTAGATGGGGATTTGTTCATGCTGTCAACAATGATTACACACATTGGCTTATGTATGCCATTGGAGGAAGCATGCATCCCACCATCCTTAGCCAGGGGAATCGTTTTATCGCTCCTCCAAATCCTAATGCCAAAGAGGTAAACACGATAAAAACATTATTTTTTTCTCACTAACTCTCCAAAACAGCACAACGGAACACGTCTAATAGATGATTGATGTATCACGTATGCCCAATTTTCTTCCTCTGTGTAGGTGACCAAAAGGGACTATGCACCCGAGAATGTGTGGAAGAATTGGGTGTGGAAATCACAGGGAGATCTTATGATGAACGGGGCATTCTTTGTAGAATCTGGAGATCCAAAACATGCATTCTTGAAAGGTCCTGATATGATCACCTCCAAGCCAGGATCATTCGTGAGCAGCCTGACGCGATTTTCAGGCTCTCTCAAATGCATTGAGGGGAGGCCTTGTTAGAGCATTTTCAGCCTCAACAACAAAATAAAATATTTACAATACAAATAGTACCTATAAAGTGTATAGAGTTAGCGATCTGCTCCCTTTCTCCTCTTATTTACCAAGCTGGTGATTGGACTGAGGGAGAATGAGTGTTGAGTATTGTACATTGGCTTCTATAAGTTCTTCAACAATTTTGTTTTTCGTGTATTAATATAGTAGAGAAATATTAATCAAATATGTTGTTACTAGTTGCGGTGATTATTTTCCCTGACTAAGGACATTCAAGAGGGAGTTGCTCGAATAGTGAGCACCTCTCACTTCACTTTCATCCCAAAGTTGTGAGATCGAATCACCAAGGGAGTAAAAAGAGTGGGAGCTTCTAGGGAGGGATAAAATAAAGAAAGTTGATTAGAGACATTGTTTTATTACAACAGTGTCCTCAGCTTCTATACATATACATGTAACTGTTTTGTGATGGTTAAAATTCATTCCTGTTATAAAATCCCCAATCAAGCCTTGGATGTTTTTATTATTGATAAGTAAAAAGTTAGAGGTTGCTTCCTTTATTAGAATCGGGTGTAACTAATTCATAAATATGAAGCTCCCAGAATAAGCATCTAAAAATCTACAAATTTGCATGTTGAAATAGATAGTGAATTGAGAGAATTCGTCAGCATAAAGAAACTCACCAAAGAAACAAGTGTGGTTGAACGGAAAACCGACACATTGCAATCTCTCTATGCCTCCGTGGACGCTTCATTGCAGAAAATTCTATATGACTCACTAAATGATCAAAATAAAAAGAGAAGCAAAATTTGCTTAGAAGTACCTCAAATTTACATTTGAGATTCCACAGAATGCTGAGAAACCAAATAATACCTACACAATAGTCATAGCCATGAAGCATATTCATCAAGGTCACAAGTCAATAATAAGTCTTATGGAGTTCAACAAGGAAAAGAGTTAAGTGTAAACCAAATTACAAAACATTCTCCAAATACATAATATAAAATGAAAGAAATACGGATCAATACAGGATTGGAGTGACCCAAATTAGTGGACAAACATGACTGAGGGACAACATCACACACGGCTATAGTGAGGCTCGAAGCTGTGCCATTTGCTGAACTAAAAACTCCCATATCCAAGCCACCCCCTTCTACTTAACAGATATATTATGAACTCCAGCAGCACACACCTTTGTAAATTGCAAAACAAACTGATACAAATTTATAGAACAAAAGAGCAAAAGCCCTGGAGGCCAAAAACATATAGAGCAGAAATTCAACAGCTCTAAAGAGTAAAAGCCCAAGAAACCAAATGGCTTATTAATAACTAAACTGGATCAGATCATTGGATTTCCAATTAATCAAAGAAAAAGTCAGGCAGTTAATAACTGGTTATAATAGCACAATGGCTACAACTAACTTAGAGCCCAACTCTACTGGATTCAGAAAGCTACACTGTGCAGTAAAGAAATCTTAATGTAGCTGAACTTATCATTTGCTAACTTATCCTGAAATTGGGAAGCAACTCCCATAAAACACGACTTTTAACAGAAAGATAAAATTTACAGAAACCATAGACGAATAATATCACCATGAAGCTGTATTTGACATTTGAGATTGAAAGGAACACTGAGAAGTTACACAGTAACATGCCACTTCAATTGGAAAACATAAGCATTACACTAAAAGGTAATGATACTATCATCCATTTATTATAGAATAATTTCAAAACAAACATCAGCATCAAGCATCATACGTAGATTAGGATAGACAGTAGAGCATCAACATCGGATGACTTGTTCTCTCCCTTTATTTCTTCTTTTCTGCTAACCAATTTCAGTTCTGAACTTATTATAAATCTAAACATATACATAAATCTATATATATAACTTATGGTGCTCAACAAGGAAAAGGGTTTTGCATAAAATAAATTATGAAACATTCGCCAAATATACATAATATAAAATGAAAGCAAGCAATACTGATCAATACAGAGTTGGAGTGACCCAAATTGGTGGACAAACACAACCGAGAGAAACACTGTTGTAGTGAGGCTCAAAGCTGCCATTCGCTATGTTATAAACACCCATATCCATGCCACCCCCTTCTTCATAGGAGAGGTATGATTCCACAAAATCATCAGTATAATAAATATGGTTGGGCTTGACCCCTGGAGATTGAGAAGCCTGTACTGAGATAGATGCATTAGCACCCAAAAAAAGAGCTCTGTCCCCTACTTCCTTGGTTTCCCTCAATCTTCCAGCGGCTAAGTCAACCTCAAAAACTCCAAAATTTGTTGTCCCAAAAGTTTCACCATCGTTATCATCGTCATATATTGGTGTTAATGAAAGCCTGCTACTATCTTCTCTGATAGGTGCCCTACTTTTTACACCGTAGCGCACAACTACAAATAATGATCCCATTGATTCTAGGATATAGAACTCGTCTCCCTTGTAATGGGGTGGTAAGCTGGCTACTATTTGAGTGTGAGTGGGACTAGAACCAGTAACATCATAGACCAACACACAGCCACTCCAATCAACTGCATAAAATTTTTCAGTATAATAGACCAGATCACTATGTATATGTTTATAGGGAGAGTTTATGTTGTCAATACTTGTCCATCTCAAATCTCCTGGCCTCCAAAAACTGAAGAATTTCATATTTCCGTCAATCACAGCGAGAATGTAGTTCGATGTATGAGAAGGACTAGCTGATAAAACTGCTTTGTGAAAAAAAGTCCATGGATAGCCTACCTCATGGTCTTCATAATCTTTGGTGGTATTTGGATGGGGCAATTCGATCTCAACACCCGAGAAGGGTTGTAGCAGACTTGTTTCACTCTCATCTTTCCCGGTTGTGATTAGCCATCCCATAGACTCTAGACATCGTTTTCATATGGCTTTCGGAATCCTCTTGTTTAAAATCATGCCATTGTAGAGGCTGAAGAATTTTCGACAGGAACTGTCTTTATCCTTCTGATCCTCTGCTAACATCAACCACGGAATTCTAGGCAGGTCACTGTTGAAATTGTCCTTGGTGGCGGCGCATTGCCAAGATTTTCAAACGGCCCCAAAAGTAAGGTAGTCCTCAATCAAATTTATACGCTTTACTATTAGCCAGCAAATCATACTGAAGCTCAGACCAATTCGACATCCTGGTGCTTAATATCGGGAATTCACTCAAGTTTTTTCTGTTTTGGTTGAACAATACACAAACCTTATAACAAGCCATATATATATAACTGAGAGAGATATCCCAATTAAGGTCGGATTCTGAGGAGAGAAGCCCACTTCAAACACTAATAGGAATCTAATTTTGCCGACACACACTGACACCTTTCCCTATCCTATTACTCTTTCCCAAAAGAATTTTACTAGGGTTAAATAAATAATTTAATAGCATAATTGGAACATAATTTAAATATACCATAAGTAAAAAAAGAAATCGGTAAATTTCATAAATTTTGTACCAAATATTGCTAAAATTTTCATTTACATCAAATATTGCCCAAAATTAGCGCTTCATACACGGGAACAAAATTATTTTCAATAAAATTGTCATATTTATCTGTCTGTAATGTATTTACATATACTTCTTTCTGTCTCCTTTAATAGTTATAGTTTTTTTTTAGAGTCAAATTATACTTCCTCCGTCCCATTTTATGTGGCATCATTTTCTTTTTTGTCAGTCCCAAAAAGAATGTCACATTTCCTTATATGGTAAGTTTATAAAGGTACAATTTCTCTTTTATTCTTGTTGGTCCCACTTAATCTTAAAATAATACTCCAATACATTTATGAGGAGAGAGAAAAAAGAGTCTACTTTTTAAAGGGCAATTTGGTAAACATTTCAAAGTATTCATTTATTTCTTAAACTCCGTGCCTGGTCAAATGTTGCCACATAAAATGGGACGGAGGGAGTAAAAATACTTTGACGAACATTTTTATAATGTATTTTTTCATTACATTGATATGCAAAAATTTCCAATTTATGGCATTTTTGTATGATTTTTGAATATCTAAAATTTTATTTTAAAATATCTAATTAATATAATCTAATTTAACTTTAAAAAATAATCAAATTAATTTTATATCAAAGACGCATATAAGCAAGTGTATCTTTATGTTCCTGTATTGCTTTATTAATCACTTTTTAAAAAAGAAAACACTTTTGTTTAAAAAAAAAGAAGGTGTTTGATTTTATATCAAAGACGCATATAAGCAAGTGTATCTTTATGTTCCTGTATTGCTTTATTAATCTCTTTTTTAAAAAAGAAAACACCTTTTTTTTTATAAAAAAAAAAGGTGTTTGACAAATCAATAAAACGGTTTTCAAATAGAAGCAAAAGCAGTTATTCTGCAATTGAAATTAAGCTATAAATTTCTGCTTCTTAAAAAAAAAATTGAAGCAAAAGCAGAAAATTATTTTTTACAAGACCAAAATATTCATTCCATATTTACATATTTACTCATACATCCCTTATTAAATAATTAACATATCTCATAACTTTGGTAAAAGTTACATTTAAGAATTTTATTTTTATATAATATTTTTTATTATTATTTTACGTTTATTCTCATTACTTTATATCTAATATTTTTAATTATATTTATAACACCATATTAATATTAAATCAATATTTAATTATTTTCTTATTTATCTATGCATAATATTGATTGAAAAATTGACTATGTACATTTCAATTCAATAAAAATAAAAGTTTGATTATATTTTTTATAATCGATATTTAAAAAAAAAAACTATCTATAGAATAATATTCATATTAAAAGTACATTGATACTTGTTCTTTTTCGTAGTTTGACATTTGAAAGCATTTTTCAAAAAAGATTAGTCAAACACAATTTGATTATCAAAAAGATTTTTCAAATGAGTTAGTCAAACACAAATTATTATTTTTTCAAAAACACTTTTCTAAAAAGCTATTTTAAAATACAAATATTTCTAAAAATTAACAAATTTTAACAATAATGCCAAACATGCATCTCAGCTTTATAAATTTTTGCAAGTCAAATAATGGCATAATAATGTAAGGATTTGTTATGCCTAGGTTAAGTAATGGTGGAATTTTTATTCTTAAGTTTAAAGTTGTTAAATTTTTAAAATCAATTATTAAGAAAAAAATGTTTTATATTTTGATTTTAAAATATGCAACCCAAAAATAAAAAGGTGTTCAAAAACTTTTTTGAGGTTTCACACAGAATAAATAACGACGTTAGAATCTTTTTATATTGAAATCAACACATAAACAATCCCTACTTGTTAGAATATTGTATTTAGATATTCGACCATCAAT